AATCCAACCCTCACCGGGAACAGGTCCTACTTACTACCGGCTATGCGGACCAAACTCACGCTCCTCTGGTAAAGGGACTGAATGGCCCTTAACAGAAAGCCACCCACCCCATACTCCTGGAGCGTCCCCCACAGGGTGCCCCTGGGGACACGGTCATAAGCATTCTCCAAATCCACAAAACACATGAGAATTGGTTGGGCAAACTCCCATGCCCCCTCCATCACCCTTGCAAGGGTATAGAACTGGTCCACAGTTCCACGGCCAGGACGAAAACCACACTGCTCCTCCTCAATCTGAGATTCAACTATCGATCGGACCCTCCTCTCCAGTACCTTGGAGTAGACCTTTCCAGGGAGGCTGAGGAGTGTGATCCCCCTATAGTTGGAACACACCCTCAGGTCACCCTTCTTAAAGATGGGGACCACTACTCCGATCTGCCACTCCACAGGAACTGCCCCCGATGACCCCGCAATGTTGCAGAGACGTGTCAACCATGACAGCCCTACAACATCCATAGCCTTGAGATACCCAGGATGAACCTCACCCGCCCCCGGGGCTCCACTGCTGTGTAGTTCATTCACCCAAGATTAATCAGTGAACACGAAATCCAGCTCTGGAGAAGTGAAGGAAACTTTCAACAGGAATGTTTTGTTTGATTGACATCTGTTGAACAGAGCCATGTGGAGCTTCATTTAGATGCAAGCTATTGTGGTCCACACCATCTCTTTGTCTCCAAATTTACCACCGTCTGTTAGCAAAAAGAGGATAATGGATGGACCATTGCTTCTTCATGTTTACCACGTCTTTGCCAGCGTTTCCCACCTGGAGTGGTGTAGGGGTGGCGGAACAGAATAGCCGAGATGTTTGCCAACAAGGGACTATGTGGTTCTCCTCCATGATCACTAATAGGCAGAATTTTAGAACATGTATAGATTTCAGTAAATCATCACAGTCGTTGATGTTGAAGTAGTATCCAAACCGCACAGCGTTTGATGAGCTGTCGTAAACAGCGGCGCCATCTTGAATAAACGTCCTTGTGGCTTCTTTAAAGATTTGCCCTGCTAGTGAGGCCTGGTTAAGTGAAACATTTGACCCTTTTAGTTTTATATCATGGAAACGAGGAAGCAGCTGGTTAATTCCAGCCTTTTCTGAGCACATCAGATTGCTGGGTCACTGATCTGTTTTGGGGCAGCAGGAGCTCAACAGGTTGAGCGGGTTGTCCGGTAATAGGAAGGTTGCAGGTTCGATCCCGGCTCTGGACAGAGAATTCTGCTGTTGTGTCCTTGGGCAAGACACTTAACCCACCTTGCCTGCTGGTGGTGGTGGTCGGAGGGACCGGTGGCGCCAGTGCTCGGCAGCCTCGCCTCAGTCAGTGCGCCCCAGGGCAGCTGTGGCTACATCGTAGCTCATCACCATCAGTGTGTGAATGGATGAATGATGCACTGTGGTGTAAAGTGCTTTGGAGTCCTTACTCTGAGAGGCGCTATACAAGTACGGGTCATTTATCATTTTGCACGAGCAATAGCAAGAACCTCACGCCTGGATGTAGCTCCTGCTGCCACTTCCATGGTAGCCATGGTGGATCAGGTTAAAGCCCAATTACCCCCTTCACAGCTGGAGCTGGACTCCCCGCCACCCTCATAATATTTGGGCTGTAATGAATCTGTGTTTGCTCAACCTCTGGCGCACACGCACACACACACACACACACACACACACACACACCAACGTGGTGTCTTACTTCTTAAACACAAAGAAGGTTGTCTAATTCAATTTCCTGTTTTTGTGTTTCCCAGCTCTGTATCCGTCTGCATACAGGATAAAGCGCGGGGCGTATTCGCTCAACAACCCCACGTTCCAGCGCTCATCGGAGGACATCAGTTTGCTCTTTGAGGTCAGTTTAGAGCTTTAGAAATCTTGTTTGTGAGAAATCAGCTCAGCATGAGAGTCGCGCGGTTCCAGACTGTACATCTGTGTGGACCGCTGCTGCCCTGCTAATAATTAACAGAAATGTGAACCATGTGCTTAGCCAATGGCTTCCTGACACCCATGAAAGAACCATTGAGTTATCTCATCAGCTCTCTTCACGTGTAGGTGAAAGGTTCTTTTTAAAATGTTTTTCTAATTTTTTATTCTCCCTGTGTCTGATTGATTTTTAGCTGTTAGTTTTGGGAATTTTGTTGTATTTCCTTTTTATCTTCTATCTGTGTTCGACATGTTTGTATAACGCCTGTTTAATTAACTAACATTTTTAGTGTACAGCGCCTTGTTTGGTTGTAATGCCTTGTGAATGCGCTTTATAAATAAAATTGGATTGGATTGGATAATCAATCTAAAGTGTAATCAACTTGCAGAGGTGGAAAGTAACAAACTACATTTACTCACGTTACTGTAATTGAGTAGCTTTTTTGTAAATTTATACTTTTTAAGTAGTTTTTAAAATCTGTACTTTTACTTTTACTTGAGTACGTTTTTAAAAAAGAATTGTAATTCGCTACATTTTAAATCATATCCGTTACTGAGTAAAAATAAATTATAGGCTTAATTAAATAAAAATATTACGTGTAGCAGCGTCGGAACAGAAAGAGACACCTGCATGAGCGCCACGTCTAAACCGGGGGGGGGGGGGGGGGCTACATGCTTTATGATGAGGACAAACAGCCATTTTTACCGCAGTTTTGCTCAAAAACTTCAGTCCCTGTGATCAACTCGCTGTTGACCTCCTCTCTCCCTCCTCTCCTGTGGGTTGGAACCCACACCTTCGCGCACCGGTGTGACGTCATCAGAATTCTGCTCGGTTCCATGTTTGAAATGTGTTTCCTTACCGCGCACGGAAGCGGCAAAATTACATTTAGCGCTCCTAAGAAGCCGATTATCAGTGCTCTGCTCATAAAACAGAAGACCTGCAGGCCTCTGTGAGTTAATCCTGATACTGTTCAGGTGTAAACATTGTGCTCCATCCCTGTGTTTGAACTCAGAAGTTGCTTCTTGATGCCACAGATATGTGATCATTTAACTTGTTTCTTTATTTTACTCCAGAATAAGAGATTAAATTATTACAAAAGCAGTTCAGTGTAGTTAAATTAGTCATTCAAATGATTCTAAAATGCTGCAGTGTGTGTGTGTGTGTGTGTGTGTGTGTGTGTGTGTGTGTGTGTGTGTGTGTGTGTGTGTGTGTGTGTGTGTGTGTGTGAGCGCGCGTGCGTGTGTGTGTGTGGGACTGCATGAGACAGCATGGCTTCATCAAATCCATGCATCCTAGCTTGGCTGAAGTAATGGCTCAGGAAAATAACTTATATTTAATAAACAATGATATCTCTACAGTGTTTATGATAATATTTTTATCTTATATTGGACCTATCTTTGGTCTGGGAGGTGTAACATATCATGATACAAGCCTTTTAAAACATGTTAAAGTGTTACAAGAAGAGATAAATGCATGAATTTAAAGTTCATGTTTGGAGACCAACCTTCACAGTTTGGAGGCTCACGCTGGTGAGGAGACACCATTAGTTCTAGTAGCACCTGGGCTCCCAAGGCCTATTCTGACAGGATGGATGTTACGAGACCCTTAAGGACTCCAGTTGGATGATTCGAGGATTATTTAGGAGGATTGGAATGAACAAACTGATTTCAGTGGTGAAGGGTTAAAGGAATTGGCTCGGCATTAAAATTGTAGAAATGCAAAATAACTACACTTTATTATCTATATAAACATGTACTGGGTCCAGTTTTTTATTTTATAGGGCTGTAGCAACGCCTCGATGACGTCGACGGCTCGATTCTAAAAATTTGTCGACGTCAGATCCGGTAGTCGACGCACCGCGCCCACTTGTTGCATCCCCAAGAGTTTGTAAATAGAAGAGGAATCTGCATGTTTTTTCCTCTAGTTCGCCCTCTTCTCTGCCTTCACTAACATCTCCGACAAATACCGAAGACCCAGAATAATGTCCGTCCGCTACTAGATTCCTTTCCTGTTTTGCCCGCCTTCGTCTCCCGGCAACGGACAACAACTTCCGGGGTCAGATGCGCTGCTCCGTCTCTACCGCAGATGTAGAACATCACTGGGAGCGTTTCTCCCCTTCATTAAGGTGCTTCTTTCAGACATTAGGAGAACTGTTTTGGTGGTAGCAGTCTCTCCTCCGTGCTGGTCTGTTTGCCGCTGTTTTTTTTTTTTGGTTTATTTAAACTTGGTAACTTGAACTTAACGTTGGTGAAGCTACTGTTAGCATTTTCGCTAACAGCTTCTTGCGTTTGGATAAGCTGTTACGTTTTGGTTTAGAGTTCATCTTTTTTTGTGGCGTAGGTCTCCCTTTTATTACATGAACCCCGGGTTTCCACGGGAGCCGTCAGCAGCACGTTACTGCAGCAGCACGTCTTGCTCGCGTAAACTGCTGCTTGGCCCTTCCCACGAGACGCGAAGCAGCAGGGGAGCAGCTGTCACCGACCGAGCACGAAGTCACACGAGTTACTTCGTCAGTAAACACAACAACAAGCAGGAGAAAACTACAACATGGTTTGTGTTTTATGTTCTGTCTGTTTTATAATCGCCAATACGGACCTGAAAAACAAAGGAGACCGCTAGCTAGGTGATAACTTCTCACGGGGCCGCACAGTTAGTAACCTTTTTTAAAAGTAAAGCAACCGGAAAGCAGTGCGTTCTTTATTCTGAAAATCTCGGTAGCTTCTCTCCATTTCCGCGTCCGATTTCCTGTCTTTCCTTCCCCAAAAATGTCAAACTTGACCCGTTTCAGAGGCGTCGCGCGTAGAAAATAGAACCGGCGCGTAAAGGCCGCGACATGCTGCTCCTGAGACGCGGCCGACTCGCGCTGCTGACGGCTGCCGACGGCTCCAGTGGAAAAGGTTCTGTTGACCACAGCGGTTCCTATCAGCAGCTATGACGTGCTGCTGCAGTAACGTGCTGCTGACGGCTCCCGTGGAAAGCCGGGGTTAGAGTGTTGTGGGTTTTTGGTTTCGTTTAAGAAATCACCTTCAGTTTGGTTTAACCACCCAGTTCAGAGTTGGACCTTTGGAGATTATTTTGGTCCAGAACCCTGTAATCTTTGCCCAGTGGGACATCCCTATTTATTTGTACTTTTGTTTTAATTCCCCACAGGCAGAATTAGTTTTATTATTCCCAACCTGTGGATGGAAAGGTTTATGTTTTTTTGTAGTTGTAAATAAACCTGATCATCATTTTAACTAAAATCCCGTTATTGTCCCTTCCTTTTTGCACATGAGCCAAACTCCCCAGGAAGGGTCGTAACACCACTCGCCTCACGCACATAAGTGACCAAAACAAAGCAGCATGGAGACACTCCATCTTCAACCACCTCTCAGGCAGCAGCCTGCACGCTTAAGTTCTACACGTCACCAGAACATAACCAACCGCAACACAATAAAAGCAGTGTTTTACAAAATTGAAGGCCTGTAGTGTTTATTTTCTTACAGTAACAATTTATCAATTTTTTTGAGGAATTTATTAGAGATTTTTTGGTTTTTATTAACTGTGCAATAGAAAAATAATCATTAGATTAATTGTCTAAATAGTCATTAGAATAGTCGACTATTCGATAAAATAATCGTCAGAATAATCGTTTTAAAAATAATTGTTTACCCCCAGCCCTATTATTTTATTAAGGACTTTTGTCATAAATCATTAAAGAAAATCCAAATCCTCTCCTCCAGACAGTGAAGAAAGGTGTTTCGCATACATCACTCCAGCACGTAAAACAAGCTAGCTGCTGATGCTAATATTGTGAATAACTGTTATTTGTTTACTTTCATGCTCCTAATTATTACGTAAAATTGTGTTTACAGCTGCAGCAAAAGGTCTGAGCCATGTGTCTGTGTCCTACATGCATTTTTAAATAACAGGTCTGATCTAAAATAATAACCTACATCTATAAATCCATCTAGAACTGCACCGCTACTTCTGGACTCCAGACGAGTCCCGTTAGCATGACTGCAGCAACACTAACCGTGTTCGCTCCGGTAAGGAAAGAACAAGTCCTTTGGGAAAGCTACGACACACACACACACACACACATGCACGCACGCACGCACGCGCGCACACCTACACACACACACACACACACACACACACACACACACACACACACACACAAAGATAATCTAAAAGATGATCTCTATATTTCAATATTAAAACCTCCATGACATCCTGGATTAGTGCAAACAATGAGTTGAGCTAAGGAGTTACTCCAGCATCAGGAAGATTTATTCTGGTAAATTGTAGGTTCATTATTTTCCAGAGTTATGTCAATAAATACACACAGCAGTAAAACTAGATAACTGAACTATATTGGGACACATGATGGAGCTAAGACCAGCTGAGAACTCGTCAGCTTAGAGCTTCCAGTGGAGCAAAAGAAATATTTAAGAAAAGTAAACAAACTGTACCGATTTTGGTTCTGAAGATGAACAGAACCCTCCTCTATGTCCAAATCAGGTCGCAGGTCTTCTGAGTCAAACGGTCTAAAACATGTCTGCACCTCTGGTAGTGATATCCAGCTGGCGGGGTCGGAGTTCGGTTGAACTTCTCCAGTAATCTAACATCCGTTCTTGTCGCCGTTTCCCAGAGAAAAAACAAATCTGATGGACTAGTAGAGGCTTCAGAAGCTACATCTGATTGATGACACATTGTTCTCTGCTATAACGCTAACGCAGAAACAGCGGAGTCAGGCGTTGTTTACTACAGCTGTTTCAGCAGAGCTCCATGTGAAACGTCAACTGCTGCCCAGGGCTTAGACCGGAAGTTAGTTTCTGTTTTTCCTGCGCCAGTCACAAACATCAGATTTTCTTACAATTCCAGCCGTCAAAATCCAAAAACCTTTTTCATCTGAGATTTTAATACACATTTACACATGCTGTTCAAACAAATTTTGCCTCTGGCCGATATCTTTAAATGAGTGAGTGAACCCACTACCAAAGATGAACTCTGCTAACTTTAAAAATCAGCTGCTCTAAATAAGCATTCAGGGAAAAGTCATGGGCTTGTGACTATAACCTAATTTATGTTACTAGTTTGCAGTGTAACTGCCTTTGTACTTCAATATGCATATTTGTTCATTTAATAAAAAAAAACGGCCACTTTGACATTTATACCCCATTGTCTTTTTTTTAACTATTCAGAAGAGCCCATCCTTGCACAGTCAAAAAAGTAACTAAGTAACTTTTACTCTGACTACATTTGAAATAAGCTACTTTTTACTTTTACTTGAGTACATTTTGAGGCAGGTAATTTTACTTGTAATTGAGTAAAATTTCATGAAATTAATTATACTTGTACTTAAGTACAACATTTTAGTACTCTTTCCACCTCTGTCAACTTGGTTGGAAGTCATCCCAGTGTCTCTTGATCTTCCAGATTCTGCTCTCGGGAATGCAGATTCGAGGCGAGGAGCACACCCTGCTGATCCCAGATGAGGAGCTGGCCTCCCTACGAAGCGTTAAAAAGCTGGAAGTCATCTGTGAGGACGTTCTGCCGAAGAGGCTCTCCGACATCCGCCGTCTGACGGCTGAACTCGCCCAGCGGCTGGAGCCTCTCAGCTGGCCGGACTTCGAGAGGACCGTGCTGACTTTAGTTTACACATCGCAGACTTTAGCGCAGATCACCGACCAGCATCAGAGAGAGCTGTGGACGAACGCTCTGATGCAACTGTTTCAAGCTGTTCAAAAAGATCTCAGACCAACCTGAGAAACAGTCAAAGCATCAACTTCACTGACTTAGATTAACTCCTCAGTCTTCTCTAAGCATCAGAGAAAATCTGCATAACAACAATTCCCCTATGCTTGTGTGGCTTTGATGTTCTTCGTTCTGTCTTGACCTTGAAATCACTGGACTGATTTTAATTGAACCCTGGACATTCCCTCATTAGATGTGCATTTACAGCTGATGTCAACAGCATCCAAGATGGCTGCTACAGCTAATCAACGTTTGTAACCACAAAAATAGCCTCTGTCAGCTTTACAGATTTTGGTGCCATGGTAGCAGAAAATCATTATTACCACACATCCTGATTTTTCTTAAAACATTTTCTATTTTCTTTCTGCTCTCTCCTGTTCAAATTGTTCTTCAGACTTTGTAAACTCTAATTTCTGGTTTTCCAGTTGAATGTGTCATGTTCTGTGTCCCCTTGGTCCCCAGCCCCCTCCTGTTCTCCCTCAGGTTCCCCTCATGTGTCTTCTTGTGTTCCCCAGCTCCCTCTAGGTTTCCTCATGTTTTCCTCCCAGTCACTCCCTTGTAATTCCCATTTGTTTGCATTCATTCTCACTCCCAGCGCATCAAAAACAAACGCTTGGTCAGCAACCCTCCGCGTCAGACCCCTGACGTCAAAAGTACCCTTTATTCGTCACTTATGTGCGAAAAGGGTTTTTTCCCTTTTCTGACAGCAGATCCCAGTGCAGAGTAAAACTGATGTGATGGGATGTCCGCTGATGTGGCACTGAACCAGCTCATTTAACCATACCTAAACCTTAAAGTTTTGCTATTTATATCCTTCCCCTCACCCTCATCCTAACCTTAACCCTCTTGCTACCTAAAACGTTACTCTCACTGTGATCAAGTGTTTGTTTCCCATGCATTCTGACTGTGAGTTTTCATATTTGCCGCCCAAGGGGAACATTAGAACATACCATCTGGTGAGGGGGAGGTTACAAATACCCTCTGCTTTTAACCTCCACCTTGGTAGTTGAAACCTCCCCCTCACGTTGCCTCGGTCCAAATCCGACCAATGACGAGGCGGCTCCCGCCGTTCACTTTATAGAGCCGGCTTTTAGAGCGACCGACACATCACTAACGTGTTCGATGGCAAGATGGTTAAGGTTAGGATAGGGGTGTGGGGAAGGTTAAATAACAAGAGGATAAGGTTAGGGTGAGGTACAGTGAGCTTGTTTGGTGCCCTGACTGTGGAAATCCCATCGCGTCAGTTTTACGCTGCATTGGGATCTGCAGTCAGAAAAGGGAAAACCCTTTTCGCGTATAAGTGACGAAAAAGGGTTCTTTTGACGTCAGGGGTCTGACACAGAGGGTGGCTGACCAAGCGTTTGTTTTTGACGTGCTGGTAGTGAGAATGTGTTGTTGCATTAGCCCTCCTCACCCCTCTAGTTATAACCGAGCAGCCTATTTGCCTGCACTTTTGAAGCTGACGGGAGGGGGGTCAGCTTTACAGAGCTCCCACAGCTGAGGAGGGAGAGAGGAGGTAAACAGCGAGTGGATCACAGGGACTGAACTGATGTTTTTGAGCAAAACTGTGGTAAAAATGGCAGTTTGTCCTCATTATCAAAAGTCCCCCCCCCCCCCCCCCCCCCCCCCCCGTTTTAGGTGCAGTGCTCATGCAGGTGTCTCTTTCTGTTCTGACGCTGCTACACGTAATTTTTTTATTTACTAAGCCTACAAATTATTTTCACTAAGTAACAGATATGATTTAAAATGTAGCGAATTACAATTATTTTTTAAAAACGTACTCAAGTAAAAGTAAAAGTACAGATTTTAAAAACTACTTAAAAAGTATAAATAAACATAAAAAGCTACTCAATTACAGTGTTGCAAGTCCGAGCAATCGGTCAAGGCTTAGAAACAGTGGTCAGAGACAAGGGTCACACAAGGGTCAAGAGGACAATAGTTCAGGACTTGCTGGTGAGGACAGAACTAGGCAAAGGGTCAAAAGACAGGCTGTCTTCTCTGGATCCACCCATGGACACACCCCTGGGCCCGCCCCTAACTCCACCTCTGGCGGGAAAAGAAGGACTGGCATGGAGTGAGGAAAGTCCAACTGGACCCAGAAGCTCTCAGGAATGCTGGAGGAAGATCTACAATTTGCTACCAACATGAAGATTTATGACCTGTGCTCTCATTCCAGGAGTGCAGAATGTAACTTTTGTGCCCTCATGTGAATACTGCATGTAGTGAAAATGATACCAAATGTCTTATGTAGAGCTAAAAAAGTGTATTTGGTAAATGACCCCTTGACCTAAACTGTCAGGAGAGAATGACTTGTGACTCTTACATTGTTTAGAGCAGTCTCAGAAATGATATAAAAGGATGCAGCTCAGATCGAGCAGGGCTTCGTTCTTGGGGAGATTCTGAGAAGACAAGAGCTAGTGTAAACTAACTCTTATTTAATCATTTTGAACTAATTCCTCCGTGGGGGATAGCAGTTGTTTTTCACTTTACCCAATTTTTGTATTTTGATTTTGTAATAAACCTTTTTTGAAAAAGAAACATAATCCTGATTCTTTCAGGTTTTCTCTAAAGCTTCACGTTTGGGGCCCTGGCCATAATTGCACAGAGGTAAGCATGTCGAAGATCGGTCTCTGAATTATCAGGACTTACTTTACAGTTTATAACAGAATAATATAAAGAAACCTTAAGATAAGGGAAGTTTTAACTTCCCACTCCTTGCGAGTAACGAGTTGTCTTAAGGGCGATAAAAGCAAAATATTCGAGGTTATTTTGGCTCTGATTGCAGGTTGAAAAAGTCTCTAATCGGCTGGAAGGTTGGATTAATAAATAAATTGATAAACTTATGATAGCCTGATCAACTAGCATAAATCATTTTATAGTTACCAACCTCCCACATAAGCTGTTAGAGGCGCAATTAATTCCGGATAATCCAAACAATTGCTGAGAGGCTTGGCTTGCCTCCAGACTTCTCTCTAGTATCTTAACCAAAAGGTAACGAGTTTAAAAGAAGTGTAATACTCTGGGGCTGGCTATTCGTGCAAGTCATTTCACCTTTAAAATAAAAGGCAAGATTCTAATTAGGTAGTCCAAACCCGGGTCTGGTACGATTATACTCGTCGACACCCCCCCGAACCCTGATGGATGCACCGTCTCATAAGTTCTAACGGAACTGGGTTTTAAAGGAACCGGTAAATGGGACGGGCACGCGACATGGCGCCCAACGTGGGGCTAATCGGCGAAGGTTCAAATATTAGATACCGTACTATTCGACGTAGAACTATGTATTTTAGGCTGATAAAAGCTTACGCACCATGGACCTGATAAGCTTATAACCTTGGAGTGAAAACCGCACCAATTTCTCGAAAAGGAAAGAAATTTGGGAGAACGGACGATTAGCTCAAAGAGGTATAAAGAAATCATGGCTTTCCGACGTAAGAAAAGCCAAGGATAAAAGCTAGGCAAAAAATAAAAAGGAATAAAGAGTAAGAATAAAGAATAAGACGTGAAAACGAATAAAAATAAAATAAATAATAAAAAAGAGAAACTTTCAACCAGCCATGGCAGATAGATCTTTAACGGTGAAACCGGAAAATGTTCTCCTTAATGTGAGATTTGTCACCGGAGAAATAGCGACATTTCAAGGTGAACCACAAAGCGTTTTAGCAGTATCCTGTAACCGGAGCTTTCAGAACGAGGCCGGAACGGCTCAAGCCGCAGCGGAGCGCTGTCCGAATGCTGAAACTCAAGTAAAGAATAATCATGTATTTCCGTTAGTGGGTGATTTGGTGATTCTAGCAGAACAACAAAATGATCCTGTTTTTAATCAGATAGCGTGGTGTTGTTGGGAAAATCCAGCGAAACTCCCCACGGGCGAGCAGTATGAGATCCTTCTGGGATTGCTTGAGCAAATACCAACTGGACCGGAACCTTTAGTTCTCACTCCATTTGGAGTCGGGCAGTACCGATGTGATCAGGGAGCGATGTACTCTGCTATGGCGGAGTTCGTGGTTCAACGGGCTAATAGTAGAACAATTTACTTCTTATCTAGAAGCAAAAATGAGGCAATTCAAATGAGACAGGCGTTATGTAACCGACTGGGGATCACGGAGCTCCAAGCGGAAATGTACCGGAGACGAGCTGCAGTTGAAATGTCGGCCTCCTGGGATGAAGTCCAATCGGTTCCGACCGCGCCCCCTTTGTATCCAGCGCTCCGCGGGGAATTCCCTGTGAGCCCCGGTTCCGAGAGCGGATTTCCTCCACCCCCACCGAACCCGCCTGACGCTGTTCGGCCGGCGCAGTGGAACCCGTTTCTACATGTACAAACCCCTTCTCAGGTGCCCATGAGAGGAGCGGAGAGACCGCCCACTGAACAGCATGTTGCTGCGTGGGACAAAGACGAGACTCAGAGACAGTCAGGGGCTGAAAGGACTCCAAACCCAATTCCTTTTCCCCCGTTAGAACCGCATAGTCCCGCGGATCCTCCGAATCATGTTACGATAGGTCAAGAACCGGTGATAATTTTGTCAGGCGAGAAAATAGATGCGGAGATCCGAGAAGATGTGTTGATCTTTCTGAAAGATCCACAAAGTTCTGCCAGTACTACGTCCTCTTTAAGTTCTCTGAGGAGACTTTTAGGGGCAGAAAGCAGAAGCTCTATGATCCCGCTGGTAGATCGTAATTACGAAGCAGGAGAAATTATTACTCTCTTAGACAAGCAATTAGGGAATCTGGAAGGTCGTGTCAGCGCGATTTCCATAATTAACGTAGACCCTCATAATCCCGACATCTCTTTTCACCAAGCTTGGGAGCGGGTGGTGTCAGAAGCCTTGGATTTAGGAGCGCGACGGCTAGTGTTTAAGCTTAATAACAAACCCCAGGTGTGTCGGATAACTGAAGCATATGGCGCAGGTTTAGTGATTTATTCCGAAGCCTCTAGCAGGTTAGGAGACATCCCGGTCGTAATTTTAGTGGATAAGTCAGCCTTGCCGCGAGTAGAGAAGAAAGTCAAACATTGGTTTGAGGCCAGAGACAGAAGCAGCGAGAGTGAGGCTGAATCGGAGGAAGAACAGGGTTCCCAACTGGTGGTGCGTGGCACACCCAAAGGGACGCTCAGGTCAGAATGCGGATCCCAACAAAAATGCAGCACTCGGATCCCTGGAGGCAAAACACCTGAAAAAGTGAGTTGGTTATCCCCAGTTACAGCCCATGAGCAAGGTGAGAACAGAGAAAATGTAGAGCAACAACCCCAGAGAGCAGAAAAAGGAGATGAGACAAATCCTATAGTTTATGGCATTAGAGGACTAAATAAGAAAAGCCGTCCAATACAGATGAAATATTATGACCCTCAGGCACCTCCTAACATAGGCCCAGTTAGACCGGTTCCAGAACCAGGACGAGGCCAGTTTGCAATTAATACAGAGGGAGACCAGAATTATGCAGGAGAAGTAGCAGAAAATCCTTTTCCAGACTGGTACCCTGTAGACGGCTTCACGGCTTCAGCAATTCAAGCAGCAAAAAGTAGGGAAGAAGTCATGTTGCAACCAGGATGGGGGCAACCTTTTAAGCATGCTTATTTAGGCCAAGGATATGATTTTTATCGAGGTGGATGTATGGCTAGAGATTCGGCAGTGAAAACTCACTGCTACTCGCCGTGCAGCCCCTCCCAACCTTTGGATGTAAACCGAAGCACTCCGCAGGGAGGACAGCTTAATCCAATGCCTAAAGAGAGAATCCTAGAACAGGAATATTCCCCATATTGGCAAACTGCTCAGGAACAGTCAAGAGTAAGCTTAGGACATTTTGATCATACCATTCTGCCACAAAGAGCATCGGGTGAGACAGACGCTGGGTATGTACAGCGGCTTCAGGATCGAGGTATGACGATTGAACAACTTTCAAGTCCAGAAATTTCTCAGGTTATAGCATTAAAGAACGATCTGCGTTTAACCCCAGGAGCCTCGTTGATGTCCCTGGCGGAGAGTTCTCCCAGAGGGATTGGTGAGGATTCTGGGGAACGACGGAGGAAAGCTTTAAGCTCTGAAATCAGTACAGGAAAAGTTACATTAGCTGGGTGTTTGGGAACAATCGCAGGGCTTTCCCAAGTACAGCAGGAAAAACTTTTAGCTGATCTGTCCGGGGGATTAATGATGGCTGCGATGTGGCCTAATCTCTCCCCTGCAGAAAAAATCAGACAAGCGCAGGCGTGGGATCGCACGAGGGAATTTAAGCAGTCAAAAAACGAATTAGGACGGCAGGCCGGAAACAGATTGAAAGGTCAGATACCATCCCCTCTGCCCCCTCCACACCAACAGCAAGGGAGCCAATCAGTGAGTTCTCAACCGAGGCAACTCCCACCCAGAACAGAACCGAATCAGAACCAGAGAACCAGGGGCCAAATGGACCCAAATGCAAGGCCGTTTTTCATGGGACCCCCCGGCTGCCCTGTGGCTCGACCCAGGAGAGCGAATCCGGAGGAGTGGGCCCGGATGACCAGAGAACAGAAGGAGAGATTGATCCAATCAATCAAAGATTGGGACGCGAAATACCACAATCAGAGAAGACCGCCACCACAAAAGTAGAAATAATTGAGGC